GGATGTCTCCCAACACTGGGAGCAAGATTTTTCTATTTCTCAGTGTCAAAGCCAGTATTAAGCTTCTAATAGAGATAAATATTTTTCTTATAATGCATCTCTTGCCTAAGAGACCAGTTCTTAGACATACTTGAGAGCTGAAAGGGACCTTAGAAGTGATCTGGTTCAAAACCATTGTTTTACAAAAAAATAAAAATAAAAAGGATGTGAAAGAATGTGATTAAAGTTAAACAGATACTAGCAAAGCCCAAATGAGAATCCAGGTTTTTCAAATCCTGGTCCTCTATGGGCCATTTCTGCTATACCAACCTGATTCTTTTTGTTTAACAAAATAGGCTGCTACCAAACAGCCTTGTCCTGTGGAAGCCACACCACACACACTTTTTGGACAAACAATAACTCTATAACTACTCCAAGTATGTCACTATGTCAAATACTATGGGTGATTCAAAGGTGAATTTACTATTATCTTTAAGGATCTTACAATAAAATTCAAAACTTGGGAGAAGAAAGCATCACAAAAATGCAGAGGAGGTAAATATCACACAAAAAAATTAGAGAGCGTTAGAACTAACTTTAGGATTTATAAACAACCTCCTTGAGATTTAGAATAGATCTTCCCTCTCAAATTGTGTCCCCTAACTCTGACTAAGGGGGCATTCATAGAATAATATCATTATTGTAGAAAGCTTTATATAAACATGAATATAACTTAGAAAATTAAAATAAACTTAGGTAAGGAATATTTACTCTGAAGAATGTTGCTCTCTGCATGACAGAAACTGCTCATTTCTATTTGCTTCAGATGAATTCATCTTCTCTTCATCAGTGAGATGACTGATGACTCAGACATGCAGATATAAGGAGAAGGGCCCAAAGTCCACGGAGCAAACCACAGCAGCCTGGCAGAGCCTTGAGGTGGGCAATAAACTGCCAGTCTCTCTTGAAGGATGAGGATTTAGAGATGACCCCAGGGGACTAAGGTTAGAGGATAGAAACCTCATCTGCTCACCGGCATCATCTCGTCAGAGTTTACTGAACTCTGGACGCGATCTATTTGATTTACTTGAGTTAATGCCTAAGGCATAGGCTATGTGGAAAGGATATCCCTTTGAATTGAAAATCATGAGGATAATGATTTGGAAATATTTTACCAGCTGTTTAAGAAATCCAGGACTCTCATGTTGTCTATATCTACAACTTTTTATACTTTCAAAGACATCAAGAGTTAAACATGTCCCTATTCTGTGAAGCATCTTTAAAATTCAGATCTATGCTACTCTTATATGTATATGCATATATGTGAATAGCCAATGGAGAGTTGATAGCTTTCATTCAACATATTTAGCTGGATCTTTTCAAACAAAATGTAAGTCTGTAATGTATTCTAATGTAACACAATTAGAGCCACTAACACCATCTGTATATATATTTTTGGTTCAGCTGTCAAAAAACATACAAATACACCCTTGTAATATAATATTCGATACTTGAGTAATACTTCACTATACTATATACTTTAACTTTTTTCTATTTTTAAATAGATCAATTTTCATTTTCCTTTTACAATTATATAGTATTTTATTACATATTTTAATATGTAAGTCTTTGCCTACGTCTCTGATATTTTTCTTGAGATACATTATTAGAAGTGCAATTACTATAGCAAAGTATATGAACTTTTAAACTAAAGGTTTAACTATAAAAACAAATATGTGTAATAGTATACAAAAAACATACTGTATATGTATTTGTTTAAAAAGTCAAATGATACAAGACTTCTAATAAAACATCCCAGCCCTCTCCAGACCTTGTCTGTCTCGTGTCCCTCTTTAGCTGTATCTTCTGTTTATCTTCAAATATTTTTCTTATTTGATTTTTAAATTTTAAACATTATCTATTGTTCCTACTATAAAAGGAATAATTACATTTCTTACATGACCAAACACATTTCTTTCCTCTACCCTCCCCCACCAATGATTATACTTTTTGGTTTAAATACTGATTTGATATTTATGTTTTTGTGCTATAGAAATATTATTTTCTGAGCCATGTAAAGTGTTATGATTATATTTCCTTGTACATTAAAATTTTTTTCATTACAGCTAAGAACTGCCTCATTTTATTCCATATGTTTATTGTGGCTGTTTTGATAAGTGGGTCCCAAATTCTTTGAAATAGTTCCCATTGACAGGTGAGGCCTACAGCCCCTCCCCTTGATTCTGGGTGGGATTGTGACTGTTTTGATAGGAGACCATGAAAATGACAGGTGATGTCAGATGTTGGTCATAAAAGAAGATGCAGCCTCTGCCTTGTGCTAGAAAACCTGTGTTTGGAGTCCTGAGCTGGCAAGTAAGAAGTCCAGCTTCTCTGAGGCTGCCACACTGTGAGGAAGCCAAGCTAAATAAAGAGGCCATGTGTGAGTACTCTGGCTGGTCAGATACCTGGTTTTCTTGACAGCCCAGCCCAGGTGCCAGGTGTGAGTGGAGCCTCCAGATGATTCCAGTCCCCAGCATCACTGAATCACCTACAGCCTCTGAGTCTTTCCAGCTAAGGCCCCAGCTATCATGGAGCAGACACCCCCTCCGTGCACTGTCCGAATTCCTGACCCACAGAATCCATGAACATAATAAAATGCTTATTTTAAGCAGCTAAGTTTTGGGATAATTTGTTATGCAGCAGTAGTGACTGGAATGCTTAGTCCTCTATATTCCTATCATTAATTGTCCCTAAATTCTCAATATGGTCAAGTACATTAGGGAATCATCAGTTCCATTTTTTTCCTTGGAGATATTTTTTCTAGGCATCTCTGTTCTCTTATCCCAATCTGGCCTGGACGCAGAGCCATCAGCCCAGGACTTGCCTGGCTGAGACACAGTGTATCAGTTACTTAAGGATGTGGGCCCTGCAGCCAGGCTGCCTGGGTTTGGACCCTGACTCCACCACTTGCCAGTGCTGTGTGAATGTGCTCAAGTTAATTTTGCTCTGCCTTGGTTTCTCATTAGAACAGTGTTGGCACATGGTAAGTCCTCTCATTGTTGGCATTCTTGTTGGTTCTTATTCTTCCCTTCATACTGTCCTGGGAACTTCCATTGCCCCACATCCATGCCTGATGTCCTAGTTCCTAAATTCCACGTCTTTTTCTTTCTTGATTACTCCCTTGTCTTGCTAGAATACAACACCAGTTCCCTAAAAAAAGATACTTGGTAGGTAAGTTTTTTGAGAATGTTTTAAATTGTCTTTAACATCACACTTGATAATATGACTGGCATAAAATTCTAAGTTGGAAACAACTTTCTCTTTGAATGTTGAAGTTATTGTTCCATTGTCTTGGAGCATTCAGTATCACACTGAGACCATTCTGATTCTTGAGCCTTTGTACATAAGTTTTTCTTTTTCTTTCTATAAGTATTAGGGTCTCATTTTTACCTTTATTGTCTCAAAAATTTGACGTTGATGTCACTTGGTGTGTATCTTTTAAAATTCATCATTTAGAGCACCATTTCGATTTGGAAACACTTACAGGTTCTTCAATTCTTAGAATTTCTTTTCTTTTTAATTCTTTGTTAATTTTCATCTTCATTTTCAGTTTTCTCTTTCTGGGACTCAATAGATAACAAGATCTCTCAAATTGGCCTCTAATTTTCTTATCTTTTCAATTTTCTATTATCTTTTTGGTCAATTTTCTGGGAGATTTTCTTATTTATATCTTCCAATCTTCTGATTTTTTAAAAAAAATCTGCTTTCATATTTTATAATTCTGATTTCTTATTCTTGGATTGTCCTTTTTAACATATCACCTGTTCTTCTTTCATGGATTTAATATCTTATCTCACTAAGTATACTGATGATAGTGCTTTTGAAAATGTCTTTTTTTTCCCCTTGCACTGCCTGTGTTTCCTCTGGATTCCCTCTTTTTATCAGTTCGCTTTTGACTCCTTCCCCGGCAGAGGCTGTGCTCTAATGCCCAGTGGTCCTCTATTACCTATTCTACTTCAGCTGGATATTCTGTGCCCTTCATACTCTGAGGCTTGTCAACTGGAGGCCTCACTGTACGACAGCCAGCTGGTCAGGGATACAGCACGTTTACTGAGGGAGCCCCAAATGTCCACATCTGCAGGTCTTTTTTCTGGGTTTGACAGTTTTCCTAGAAAGGAATTCTCCTTTCTACCTGGTGAATATGAAGGATTTTGAACTGGCTGTCAGCATTTTGAGAGCCTATGAGGGAGGAGGTGTGGGAGGGGGAAAATCTTATCTTTTGGAAAGCAGCTATCCTTAGGCTCGCTCTACTTTAACGATGGCATCCTCACCCCAGCTGTGCCTGGTTCTCCATGCGCAGAGTCTCAGAACCACCGAGTTAAATTCCATGAAGCTTTGGATAAAAGGGCAAGAACTCTTTGTACCAGAGTTTCTGAATTAAAAGAAACCCCCAAAAGTTCCCTCTCATCTTCCATAGCTTCCCTCTCCCGCAAAAAAAAAAGTGAGAAATTCACCCAATTCAAGTCCCTTTACCCCTCCTGCTTAACCATACTTTCTTTTTTTTCTTTTGATAATGCCTCAGAACTTGAGTATTCAGGGTCCAAGTTTGTTTTAAAATAACCCAATGAGCTGACAGACGGAGCTCCTGGAATTCTGCAGCTTGTGATAGAGTCTACAGATGGGAAACTGCCGTCAGTTAAAGGGTGGTGCTATTACCATAGCCCAATTTTTGAAAGCCTTTAGGAAAAAAAATCATCTGAGTTAATTAGCATTCACCACAGGCACTAGTTTTGTATTGCAGTATTCTAAGAACTCAGAGAATAAGAAAACAGTATTTCCGTCTCTAACTTTTAACTAACATTTATCTCTCAAAAATGTAGATTAGAAAGTAAGTTTTACCTGTTATATTGAATAAGCTCTTATAGCACTGATCTATATGATCTTTATGGATGATTAATCTTAGATCATCACAAAATATGAGTTATGTTCTGGTACGTAAAATAGAAGTAATTTCATTTTACCTCTCCAATCTGCTTAATCCATAAATCTCTTCCAAGAAACTCCTGATGTAAGACTACAGGAGCTGAGTTTAGATTAAAAGTCAAGGAATCACTCGTCTTTTCTTTAATAAAAGGCTGGAGATCAGAATTTATCTAGAAGGAGTAGACAAAAGAATTAAATCAGTGAAATGCATATACACTAGCATGTTTTAGTCATATTCAAAAACTACTAGTTAATATAGTGAAAAATTAAGCTTAAGGAATGTAGTTATTAGTTATACTTTAATAGGCAAAAGAACAGTTCACATGATTAACAATAATCTTTAAAGTCCTTTAAAATAGTTTTTCCCTAACATAGCCCTTTTTTAACCAGGCAGCAGCCTTTATTTTGCTTTTTAAGTTCAAGGTAAGGATTTAGGAAAAGATTTAATAAATATCATTTGCTTAATAAGCTATTCAAAGATTTAATAAAATATGGAAGAAACTCATCTGGAGATATTACATATATGTATATATTTTCCCCCTCTTATGAGTTATTTAAGTAACATCTAAGAAATATATACTAAATGGAATTTTAAAATTACATATACATGGAGGCAACAATATAACAGCTAATCTTGAGACATTTTATATTTCATTAGCCCATTCAAAAGAATCAGTTATTAGAATGAAAGCTTTCAATTTCCATGTATTTCTAAATTTCATTAACTTTCCACAATTTACTTTACATAGAAACTATAAGGGAACTGTAACAAAAATGCAAATATTTTTCCATTCTGCGACTGCCAACATTACATGTTACTTAATAACTTGCAAGAGTTCTTTCAAGAACCTTGTTAGATGGTAAGAAAAGACAAACATCACAAATACGGTTTAAGTAAGCTTTCAGTCTAAATTATGCAGTACTCACTGATCATACTGTTTATATGATATAATAATCACCATGTATGATAGATTTTATGCAGACTGTAAGCAGTTTTTGAGATATAAAAGTAGTTATTAAATGGTAAAAGGCTTCTATATCATTTTAGTTATTTAAATACTAGAAAAAGAGAAAGAGTGTGCAAATACCTTATGACTCATGGCCATGTGCTTCCCATACTGAAATGCCATATCCTGAACCTCAGCATCATGCTTCGCTAATTCCATTGCAGCTTGGCAGCTCTTTGCTAATAAGGCACCATGGGAGAGAAAAGTCTGCTCCTTCCAAGTCGATATTCCAATATCATCTGTGATACGATTTTCCTAAAAAATGTAACAAAAGCCAAGATAAAAAAGAACTTAGGAGTAATTAAATTGTTTTGGTTTTTGAAGAGTAAGAGTTAAGAAATGAACTATTCAAACAATCAGGCTATTGCAACAAGACAGAACCAAAAGATGCTGAAGCTTAGTTCTACCTAAAGAGAACTAAGGGGGTAGGAACTGCTTTTTTAAGGTAATGGGGAAAAAAATGAAAGAAATGCTGAAACAAATTTTACTTTGAGCTAGGGAACATCTATTAAAATATATTTATAGGTTAAGGCAAAATTAGAGGCTTGGACCTTCAAACTATCTCTCTTCTATATTCACATTAGTTCTTAATTAAGTGGTAATATTCCAAAATACAAGAATCCTATTACCTTTAATTTATGTGAAACTGTCAAGGGCATAATGAAGAAACTGCATTCTCTTATAAACAGTTAGAAAGAAAAATCAGAGACAAGATTAACCCATTGTAATGGAGTATGATTTAAACTACCCTATTCATCAAAGTTTATTCCCATAAGAAGAAAGCAAGGTGATAAGGGAAGATATAACTATAGTTTATTTAGTTTCATCATTTTACATTATGAAAATCATAGTACTATCTGTAAGTAAGCATACACACACCTACTGACTCTAGATGAGTGATGCCCAATAAAAATATACTGTAAGCCCCATTATGCAATTTAAAATTTGCTAGTAGCTACATTAAAAAAGTGAAAAGAAACAGGTGAAATTAATCTTAATGACATTTTATCCCAATGTATCCAAAATATTATTTCAACATATAATGAAAATAAAATTATTATTAATATTTTGTATTTTTTATACTAAGTTATCAAAACCAGTGTGTATTTTACACTTACAGCACATCACTAGCCAAATTTCAAGTACTCAACAGGAACAGAGAGCTGGTAGCTACCCTAGGGGACAGCTCTGCTCTAGGCAGTGAGCTCTCTGAGAACAAGAATAATGAAGCAACATATAAAACAATGTTCATATTATGGTGTTTTGTTGAAACCCCAAACTAACTAGAATCCACTCAGAAGGATTAATTAACCCAAACACTTTACTTCCTGCCACCCATACCATAATCCTCCTTCCAACGTTATTCATAGACAAAATAAAAAATAGTAAGAAAACTGAAACAGAGACCATTCAAAGGTGATCTCAGATTTAGCCCACTCACCATGCTGAAGGGAATCTTCGACACAATGGTCAGATTAAATTCTCAACTTAATTAATGCCTTTACACAAAAAGGAGTTTCACTTATAGTAACAGTTGCATATATGCAACCCAGCATTGCAAAAAAGTCATAGGGGAGAAGTAGTGCATAAACTGCTTTACAAAACATTAGGTATAAATAATAACATTTAATTTTGAAATTATCTTCTTGTTTATAGTAGTTTTTTTAGTTTCAACTCTTTTGGTTTGAAATCTGAGATGGATTTTAAAATGTGCAAAGTTTATATATCATATTAATAAACCTGAAATAAAAACCATATTATCTCTCCATGTATACCGGAGATGCATTTGACAAAATTCAACTCCTGTTTTTGATGGGGAAAAAAAAGCACTAAATAAAATAGGAACTGATGTGTATTTCTTTAATACAACAGGTGCATGTGTATGCATGCATGTGTGGGGTGTTACGTATGTATGCTTGCACACACGATCATCCAAAAGTCAGCAAATACTTTATGGGGAAACACATGAGCTTTTCTTTCTAAAATCAAGAATAAGACAGAGATGCACACAATATTACAGCTATTTAACAATGTAATAGAAGAGGTAAGAAAAGGACAGATGTATAAAAATTAGAGGAGTTTATCACTATTTGAAGACAATATAACTGTAAATTGGGGAAAACCAAGAGACTCAACTAAAAAAACTACTACAAGCAAGAAGATAATTTAGTAAGTAGCAGCATATAAAACTAATGTAATTTATAATTAACATAAAAGATGTATTAACTACAGCTTTCATACATTAAAAACTAATCAGAAAGTATTGTAAATGGGATCTTCTGTTATATCTATGGAAAAAAGATTAAAAAGCTGGGAATATACTTAGAAAGCGATTCTCCCCTAGAACCTCCGGAAAGAATGCAACCCTACCAACATCCTGATTTGGGAGCTTCTGACCAATGAAAAAAAACTTTTCATCTCCCTCAAGTTTCACTCAGTGTTGGTGAGGCTGTGAAGAAACGGGCCTCTCAAATATGACCAGCAGAAGTGGAGGCTGGATAGAAGTTCTGCAATGCCCATCAAAATTACAAACGTATTTGCCCTGTGACCCAGCAAATCCTATTTGCAGGAATTAATCCTACATAAAGTCAAACATGTGAAGTTAAATACATATAAGGTTATGGTCTGTTGTTCATCCAGGTGCCAGGGTGATCCTTTTGAAACATAAGCTAGATAGAACCATATTGGCCTCTGTGATATTGAGCTAACACTCTAGGCCTGTTCGTCCTTCAGGCCTGTGCCACCCATTGTTCTCTGTCACACACTCTCCCCAGATGTCTGCACAGAGTGATCCCTCGTTGCTTTTGGGTCTGTAATTAAATTTCACTTCCAAAACCCTTCCCCATCATTTCCTCTCTCTTCACCCTGCTTGGAATATTTTTCCTTGATACTACTGGACCCCTTATATAGTTCTGTGTTTAATGGTTTATTGCCTGTTCCCATCACTAGAATGTCAGCTCCATGAAAGCAAAGACTGCTTTGCCCTCTACCGAATCATCAGCACCCAATACAGTCCATTAGGTGTGCAATAATATTTGCCGGATCTTTACCTTTCTTTTCTTTCTTCTCTTTCCCTTTTGTCCACCTTCCTCTATCCTTCTTATATTGAGCAAAAGAAAAAACTGAAATAATTCTCCCTGAATGCCTTCCTACTATGCAAAGAATCAAGATAAGCTCTACAGCATAGGATTCAAAGCAATGGTATCAGGTAATATTTCTGGCATTTTCTCCTGCCCAAAATAGCCCCTTTGAGGCCTGCATTTCAGCAATACAGGACAATTTGCTGTTTCTTGAATAAAGTGTGTATTTTCAAATTTGTGTGAATTAAAAAAATATTACTCCTTTCAAAGAGAATATCACCTCCCATTCCCTGCCCAGTAAACTCAATATATCCAGTTAAAATATCATTTCTTTGAGAAACATTCTCAAACATTCCCAAATACTTTCATCCTTAGACTAACATTACCTTATTCATATTTCAAAACAGCACTTAATTCTCTCTTAATTGTATGATTGCTTATTTGTCTTTTCCCTTGAGGACTGGATATAGTCTTAGTCACTTTTACATTTCTAATCACTTAGGCCATATTTAATTTTCAACAAATGTTTCCTAAATGAATAGAACTGTGTTTATCTGTTACATTTATTAAGTAATTGCATGTTCTTCTAAAAAATTTAGAAGTGAATGAGTAGATATATCCATACAACGGAATGTTACCCTGCAATAAAAAGGAAGGAAGTATGGACACATGCTATGCCACGGTGAACCTCAAAAATATTACGCTCAGTGAAAGGAGTTGCCCATGAGACCATATATTGTATGATTCTGTTTTTACGAAATGTAGGTTAGTGGTTGCCTGGACTGGGAGTGGGAACTGTCAAGGGCCATGAGGGACCTGACGGGGTGTGTGTGAAAATGTTCTGAAACTGACTTACAGTGAAAGTTGTATCACTCAATAAAGTTAACTAAAAATCATTGAATTGTATGCTTGAAATGGGTTAATTTTATAATATGTGAAGCATATCTCAATATGAAAGAGAAAAAAGGGCAATGAACATAACATTTTACATTTCTTGGTCTCAAATGCTTAAATTAACATTTAAAAAATTATATGACTAAATTAACTGTGGCTTGTATATCATCCTCATTTACTCATATAATATTTATTTAGGTTATGGGTTAGGCTCTTTGTGAAGCAATACAGATAGGAAGATAATTATTAATGGGTATTTATTAGAAAATAGCCTGTCCTCAAGAAGCTCATGGTCCAGGAATGGCATCTATATCTATACCTACCTATATGTGGATATAAATATAATAGATAAATCAGTAAGATTCAGTTTTATTTTATTTTCCTTATTATGATTAAGATATATTTTATTATCCATCATTTCTACGTTTTAAATTATGCAAATTATAAACAATCATTGAAAAAATCAGAAAATTCAGATAATCAAGAAACCATTAAGGCCTAGTCCCTTGAAATCTGCTATAATAAGTTAATCAGGTCATAAGTCAATAATTCTGCTCTTAAGTTAATCAGAAAATTTATTCCCTGAACATTAAATTATTACCTATCATGAACTTGGTTACCAATGGAACAAAGCTCCTTCATTCATTTCTGTCAGCTTGCCATGTATAAATTAAGAGACCATGCTCTGTTACAAAGGAAAAGTTAATGTACCACTGTGAAATATCAAGAAACCATTTTGACAACCACATCCAACTCAGTATCTTCAGATATCAGACATATAGAACTGGTGTGAAATGAATGTAGACAGAATAAATGAGACTCAGATATATGGGCAGCATCAACTTATATCTGTACAGTTTACAAAAGGGAGATACATTCAGTGGATATTTACTTTTGATGGGGTTTTCTTTCTTTCAGAAAGAATATATATCAACATACCTATTGAATGACTGTCAGACTGAAGTGTATTAATTTAAAAATGTAGGTCTCTTATTCACTGTAACATGACCTTTTTGCTCAAGTAAGGCTGGTTCAAAAAATAGGGGAAAAGGCTGAAGCTTACAAGATGATGTTTCCTGTGACAGTAGCACTGGTGGTTTTACTCAGATGTAATATGCTGTTCTGCCACTGAGTTGCCCAGGGGTCGTGCACTTTGAGTTGCTTTCCTAACGGTAGAAATACATTTGTATATACCTATACACATGAGACCAAAGTGTGTTTGTAAAGTGGCAGCTCGGTATTAAAGATTTAGTCCATTAAAGGCAAAACAGCTGACCCAGG